TGCTTCCATATGAATATAAAGATAGAATTTATAGTATAATACCAAACATGGTGCCAGGGAGGGGTTGAGTAAGCAAAGGTAAAAATATAAGAAGATGCCAGTGCAGATATCTCTTCTATGGCACACAGTTTCTATAAGGAGCTGGAAGGAATAAATAGTAAATCAAGAAGTTGTGGGTAAATTATGGACATGAGACAAGACAAATGACATTAAAGAAATAAATCCATAAAGCAATCAGTATACTATAGCCAAGAAGTCACAGAAACATGTTAGTTGGACCTGTTGAAGCCAGAAACTTTTAGCAAAGTACAGATGACAGGGAGTCATTTCTTTATGTTATGCTTCCTTCATTGTAGAATTGTTGGAGTTCCGATTTCATTGGAAAATACAGCAAAAGATTTCAGCTGATTTTCTAATGTTTTAGTAGCTCCTTATGTCCTCCTACCTAGTGTTCCAATAAGTGTCCAATTGTACCTAACTTTATGCTTACTCTGGTATCATATTTAAAATGGTCCTGGTTGGGCTAGAGTAGCAGGTGGCTGTGAGAAAGTATTATGGATTTAATCTGCCTTAGTTTTGTTTTTTGTTTGTTTGTTTGTTTACTTTAAAACTTACGATCTTGAAAAGGTACATGTAGAAACCTAACAGAATGACATTATCTAGATCATATAATTAAGCAGCGATTGACTTATTGAGCCTCAATGTTTGAAATCTTGAAGAACTTCATGCAGGCACAGAGAGTAAAGAATACTTACAAAATGAGTTAGAACTTTGTGATCCAGTAGAGACTACACACTAAGGGTTTTGAGTTGCAGGTGGAAGAGTTAGCAAAGAAGTAAAGAGCTTGTCACCCCCAGACCCCAAGTAACAAGTCGGATGGAGTGGCATGTGCACCTGTGATCCTGGCCCTGAAAGGCCAGACCCTCTAGACCAAATGATGAGTTTCAGGTTCATGAGAAATCCTGTGTCAAAAGCTAAGGGGGAGAGTAATAGAACAAGTTACTCAACCCTGGCCTCACCCCTGCAGGCACTCACACCAGTGTGTATACTTGTGAACATGAATACAAAGATGCTTTTCAATTTTCAAAGATAGTAAGATGTTAGCTTCCTATAAAACATAATAAGGAAAAGAAATATCAAAACGGAAAGGTTAATAATTGAATGAAAAAATAATGGTGCAGGAGAGATGTCTCAGGGGTTAAGAAGACTTGCTGTTCTTCCAGAGGACATGGGCTAAGCTCCCAGCACCGACATGGCAGCTTGTAACTGTGTACTCCAATCACAGGGAAGGATCTGACACCCTCTTCTGACCTCTATGGGCAGCAGGCATGCATGTATTACATAAACATGCAAACCGACCAACACTCACAGCAAAAATCAAAAGAAAAAATATTACCTTAAAAATAATATGGAAGTTCTAAAATTGACAAATATATTCTGAAATAATCTTTCAGTGCCCAAAAATAAATTATTAACCTCACAAAGACAGTAATTTGCTTTGGTTTTTTTGGTGCCATAGCATCAATTTCTATACATTTTTTAAATTGATAGATGTATAAGTATTACCTGTTGATATCAGATTTAGTGGTAAAGTGGTAAAAATGATAAAGTAAATATTCTTATACATACATGTAAACATCTTTTATGAAATTAAGAGGATTATTTCTGTGTATAGATTATATAGAGATATTCATTTCAAAATAAAAATGTACACTGAAAGAAAAAAGCACTAAGGAAAGAAATAAAATCATTTTCAGCAGAAGTAATGGCTAAGACTGCAGGGTATTTGGGACTTCCATAAGGCCGGATTTCAAGGAACTCTCCCAGAGGCTTGAAGCTGTACTTTCACAATGCGTATTGTTTGTTTGTTTTTACTAACTCAGCCATTGTGTGCTCTAGCCCACATCCTCATTCACAGACTTCAAGTTAAGGCTGATGAAGATGCTAACTATTATACCCCTAGTGACATAAGTGAGTCAATGTATCAGGCAAACTGCAAGGTTCTTTCAAGAAGGCAGCACTCTCTGCATTGTGTGCAGGGCATTCCTTCTCTGAGAAAAGCCAGGCATTAGTGCTACTTAAGCTGTGTTGAATCTTGTATTGTGTCACATGTTTCACAGTGGCCAAGAATGTAGGACTAAACGAGAACAAGTATACACTGCCTGTTTGCAGGAACATCTATTGTGTTTTTGGGCAATCAAGACATGTTAGAGAAAATTAAGCTGTAGAAGCAGAGAAACAAATTCACAATTCGTAGAAAATCTTGAGACTAGCCCTTCATTCCTAACCAATGCAAGCAATCTCCTAACCTCAGAGGAAGAGACAAATGCTAGGATGGGCAACATACTTATATTCTTGAGTATAGTTGAAATTTGCATTTGCTGAGAGTAGATGCTGTGGATGCTTACTAAAGTAACTGTGAAATGACATGAAGGCTAGTTGCATGTATAGTAATACCAAGGTTAAATATGTCAAACATGTATAGTATGGAAAAAATTTACCTATATGTAAATATCATATTGTACTTTTTATTTTCAAAGCTCTAATAGCTATTATTAAGTTCATGAAATAAGAGATTTTTTGTTTTTCAGAAAATTTAGTAACAGAATAAAATTCATCATAAAAACATGCATGAGTTATTGGCTCCTTGACTCAATTTCAACCCATTTCCATCTGGAGCTCAGAGTCCTGCATTGTCATCATTGTTGCATAACTCTTTCTTCTCCTGATTGCACAGATGATATAAATGTGCCTCGCCTGGCCTTGTGGCCTGCTTTCCCCCCACAGATTTTTAGATGTGTATGTGCTGTCTTTAACCAGATCTCAGCAGGTGAAAAACAGACAATTCCATCATTTCTCTTTCATTATTTTTCATATACATATATATAAATTCTGTTATATGTGCCAAAAACTATAAAGTTAAAAGATAGAGCAAAACATAAAAAGAAATTGTTGTTTCCTAGGTCCTTCATCAAGTCTTCCCCTTCACTATCTCCCTCCTATAATACAGTTGATCAGAAATTATCCAAAAGTACATAGTTAAGAAACTATAAAGATATGAGAAGAAGGTAAACAAGAAAACAGCAACAAAGCTATCAATGTGAATTTCATGATAGAGTATTTATATAATGGACCACATTAGAATGACAATGAAATCTTGATTAAAATATGGCCTCTCTGAAAATTCAAAGTCAAATAGGAATGGTTTTAGAGTAGAATTTTGAAAAGGCACAGGGAGGATGAAGACTCAGAAAACCTCAGGAACAAAATATGGATGAAGAGAGATGAAAACTGGAAGAAAGGAATAAAAGGAAGTACTCTGAAGTTGAGAGCCATAATAAAGGTGTTAAAAGGCAGACAGACACCAAAGCAGATGGCAAACAGACAAATGAGAAAAAGATGTGAGAAAAGAAAACATCTTCACACAGTCTGAAAGTGAGAACAAAGAATATTCTTCTTATTCACAATTCTTTATCTTTGCTTGACCAAAGACATGCAAAACAAATAAGATGATACCAAAGCTTTAAAAAGAACCAAATAAAATCCAATAAAAATGTAAGGATATATTGAACTAGTGGTCTAAACTCTTCACAAAGGGATTTCCTATCAAATGAAGTAACTGATAACAGATGTTGTTAAACTGAAAAGAAAATTCAGCAAATAAGAGAATAAACAAAGCACTTGGTGTCAAAGAAATTACAGACAGTAGGTTAGAGGACAAGATTGCAAATTCTGAAGTCACTGATGAGAGAGTACAGTCCAGAGGATTCGGGATTGAAGAGGCAATGAGCAGAGCTGAGAATGAGGAAGGACCATGTGAGCTATTTAGGACAGCTGCCTTGGAGAAACTAATGGAATAGATTTCCACCTTCATATATCTGAAGGGAGTAGACCACGCAGCCTGCATGATGTAGACTCTACATAATTGTACTAAGAACTGATTCTTATTAGACAAAATGAGATAGAGCCTGAGAGTTACAAGTCTAAAAATTGGGTCCAGATCAATAACAACTGCAGGTTCCAATAGCTATCAAGCACAGAAATTGATCTAGAAGCTGATTATCAAACAGTTCTAAGAGGTTGTGTGCAAACCAGTAAACAAGCTTGAAAAGCTGTTCTCACGAAATAGTCACCACACGCACACACACACACACACACACACACACACTAAATGTGAGTTGTAACTTAAAGAGTACAGTATTCCAACAGAGGTTGCTATGTCATATTTAATCACCTTTAAATGCATCTGTTCATATTTGGGGACAGTTGGCAACAGGGGAGCATTAAAATTACTATTAGCAAGTAGATGTTTTTCTTGAGGACATAAAGAGAAAGGTTATATCTAACAACTGAAAATGATCCATATGAGTTACAATGCAGATTTCCAGAGTAAAGAAAGTCAAGAAAGCATCAGATAGCCTGATAGAATAAGACATACTGAATGAGAGAATGATAATCAGAAGGAAAATGGTTAATAAGACTAATGTAAATACTTTTAAAATAACAAACACAGTAGGAAGAGAATAAGACATGAAAGGGAACAGGATTTTTAAATGAATAAAATAATATCTATATTAAAAACAAAGTGTAAAGTAAATAGAAGTAAAAATATTTAGAGGAAATAATAAATAGGTTACATATAAAATTAAACAGATGTAAAATAATGAAAACTTGAAAATAATTTTACTAAAAATTATAGAATGTAGCAGAATGTATAAAGACAGGACACTTTAAGAAAAGATTAAGAGCCACGGGACAAGTCACCACAAATAAACTGTCAATGGGAAGTCCATGAAAAAATAAACTGAGTAAATGAGATGTAACATTTAAGGAAGTAATAATTTAGCATTTGACTGATGCAATGAACTAATTTTCAGTCTCACAATCACAACTTATAATCATATTGGAAAACAAAACCTAATATATACATAGATATTAATAGAAGAAAAATCTTAAAAATAACTAAACAGAATGTATTGTATTAAGATGTATTTTCAACAAAAAGATAAAATAACTAGAAATAAATAACAAAATTTCTATAAATTGATGTCATTTACACTGATAAAAACCATTTAAAAAATTCATTCCCAGATATATGAATTCAGCAGTGCTGTAACTGGAAGTTGCTGGAGTCTGGAAGCTACCCTCTGGGTTTCCAGGTTCTTGTATGCAGGAACAATGAATAGGAACAGGATTCTTGGGAAGAGGCAAAAACAGAGATAGTTTATTAATGGTAAAAAAAAGTGCTTCTTAGATTAGAAGTGGGTTTCACTGCAAAAAAACTGCTAAAGACTCAGTGGACTTAGGCAGAATCTCATGACCATTTCATGAGCTATTTACACAACCTCTTCCCCAGTTCACATGTTTTCTGTGCAAATTCTATTTTGTTGCATAGACTGAAGTAGTAAAGGTGCAGTTTCAGTGTTTGTCATTTTTTTGAGTATTCTAGCCTTGATGCCACTTGACCTCCCTCTCTACTGCACTCTCCTGCTTCAACACATTTAAACTAATAGGATGAAATAATATAATGCAAAAATTATTTAAAAGTGAGTGTAGAATAAATATAATTTAGATGTATAGTATCTGAAAGGATTTTCTACTAACAGTTTTTACTGTTACTCAAGAATATGCACCCAGGACAATAAAATACAACACAAAAGGAAGAAAGCATGACCGTAAAATAAAGGTAGGATTTGGTAAACATGAAAGTAAATTTAAATGAGTAACAGCTGCAAAATAAAATTGCTAGCAATAATTAATAACTCAACATATACATGGTGAAAACAATAACTTGCATAGAAGACATAATCACATTATATTTGAGATCTTTCTCATAATTTTACTTTATTTTAGTAGAGGGAGTAACTTATATGCAGACACAGAATGTATTTTACCTGAGTAGAGAGAAAAGGTCAAAGGAAGAGCAAAGAAAAACAAGGAGGGAGAGGAATAAATTCAAGTTATGGATAGAAATAACTTCAAACGAAACAGTAAGCACAAATTTTGTAAACATACAAGTCAAATAGATTGGATTTAAATATTCAGCTGTGCAATTTTTTCAAAGGGTATAACCAAATTATAATGAAACACAAAGTTTCCCTGAGAAGAGACATGTATATAATAAAAAAGACAGTGAACAAACATTAGACAAAACCCTAACACAAAATTCATCATTTAAGAAACTTTTATTAATAGGAAGGGAAAGTGGGCTCCAAATTCATGACCCATCTCCTTATTCAAATTACTATAAAAATAATAATGAATTTCAAAGTAAAAAAAGCACAGGAAAGGAAATGACACATAGAAACTAACATTTTTTTTGGTTTTTCCGAGACAGGGTTTCTCTGTATTGTTTTGGAGGCTGTTGGTCCAGCCTGGCCTCGAACTCACAGAGATCCACCTGCCTCTGTCTCCCGAGTGCTGGGATTAAAGGTGTGCGCCACCACCTCCCGGCCAGAAACTAACTTTTCTAAAATAGGAAGCAATCAACAGAAAAGACAAGGAGCACTAGAAGTGGCTTTATTGGAAAGACAGGTGTCATGGGTCAGTGTACCCTGGAGGAATACAACCATTCATAATTACAGAATGGAATTCATTACACATATTTCAGTGACGAGAGTCAGAATAGTTGCACAAGTGCAGTCTGCAGACCAAAGAACTGTGGAAGTCCGTATCTTACAAGTAGAAGAAGTTGCAAGTCTCAGAACAAAAGTGACCAATGAGGTAGCCCCAAACTTTAGCTAAAGCCTTACAAGTTTCTTGGCTAGTTGCTAATGCAATTCCAAGTTCTATGTTTGAACAATCTGGAGTCTAATGGGTGAGGGTGGCTATAAAATGTCATGCCAGCTCAGAAAGGACCTAGCAACACTAAAGTGTGAGTGTGTGTGTGTGTGTGTGTGTGTGTGTGTGTGTGTGCTGCATATGTGCTTCCCACTTACCGTAAATGGCTCACTATGGCTGTGGCCCTAGTCTACAGCAGTATGCTATCCACAGTCAAAATAGATGTTCTGTTTTGGTTTTACAATACGCATGCCAATATTCTGTGGAAATGCCACATAGGCACCAAGGAGTATGGTATATTGATATTTTAACCTTCTGTTAGTCCAGGTAAGTAAAGTTAGTTAAAAGGAAGAAAAGGAGAAAACAAGCTCCCCAGAAAGCAACTGTTACACATACTCTAAACATCTGCAAGAAAAGTCATACCCAGAGCAGCAGCAGCAGCAGCAATAACTGAAATTGGTGGAGATCTTTTCCTGTGGACGCGGGTGCTCGGCACTGACAACAGAGCAGTAGAGAGACATCATTTCTGAAAAAAAGAAAAGAAAAGAATAGCACTCATAGTAAAAGATGCTATGCAAGATCCCAAGATAAAAAATAAATACACTGAGCTACGATGGTAATCCACGACAATGACCAGAAGAGATACTAGTCTGAAAGGTGTGATAGTGACACTAATCCTGTGGGTAAGAAATGGACACCTAATTGGACTTGAGGTACACTCCCTACTCAGTGGGAGGGAAGTCAAGTTTAGCACTGTAAAGCTCACCATCTACTCTTAGCTGTGAGGTCATGAAACCAAGACCCACTACTGCCACTTCACTAAGTCAGCATAAATTCTAACCACATTCTAAATACTTATCCTTCCACCCACTGTTTCAAAATGAGACATTCTTTTCACTTCGAACTTTATGCTGAAAAGTTGACCCTTCATTGATATCAAAATATTCAGCAATCAGTGTTGTGTCCCGAGTCTCTCTCTAGCTTGCCTATCTGGAGACTTTAAAACTTACCAACCTCTGTAATTGTGTGTCGATTCCTTACATCTCACTCCCCCACTCTCTCTGTCTCTGTCTGTCTCTGTTTCTGTGTCTTTCTATCTCTGTCTCTCCTCTCTCTCTCTCTGTATGTATGTATGTATGTATGTATGTATATGTGTTTGTGTGTACATGTAGTGGTGAGGAGTAGAAAGGAATTCCAATATTCATTTTGCAATACCTATCTGACAAAAAATAGTAAGAAATTCCCAAACATAAATTTTGAATGTTCAAAAATAGGTTGCCAACCACAAACATTTATTGACATAGATAGAACTTTTCTATTACTACTTTTTATTAGACCACATGGTATTATATAACTTGTCTCTAAAAATATCTAATAATTAGCCCCACTGAAGCCACATGTTCTCTATCATTAAAGTAATTACAGTGCAGAAAAACATTAATTTGTTTAAATAAGTTAGTCACAGCACACTATGTATAGTACAAAATCATTTTATTTAAAGTGATTGTAAATTTCATAAAGTATGATATTGCCCATATGCAAATATTTTCAAAATCAAGTTTATTCCTTTACCTACATTTCTCTGGACTATACAAAAACACAATGGACTCAAAGATGGAAAAGGGTTTCTAGAAGAAAAAGGATAGGGTAGGACTCTGGAGCAATTCTGATTTCACTGCTCAGCTCATCTATGACAAGATTCCAAGTTTTAGCCTCACTGAAAAACTTTAAGTTTTAAGTCCCATTATGACAGATAAAAGTCACAAGGGAACAATGTTCATTGATATAATACCTGGTCTGACAGAAAAAAATCTATTGTTATTCCCAGGAAAGTGAATGGAGAATCCAGACTGTAGTAATGCTATTGAAATCTCTAATTTAGAAGCTTCAAAATCACTCACTCAATATCTTCTTAAAAGACAACATAAATTTAATCTTATTATAGTTATCACCATCCAAAGAGGATTATTTCGGAGAAATTAATCATATAAATAAAAAATAAAGGTAAGATAAAAGTCCTTAAATAACCTACATTCCAGAAAACCAGAAATGCAAAACATTTAAATATAAGTCCAAATTCAACATTTCTTCTCCACTGAGATATGTAATATTGTACATACTTGAAAGAGAAGGCAGAGGGGAGTGTAAAATAACAAGTAATACTTGGCGCAAGAGAAGTTTTTCATGAGTTTAAAATGCATAAAAGCAACTTGAGAAGCAAGCGAATAACAGGGAACATGCTACATGTTAATATATTTTGGAAAAATTGGTTTATTTCTGCTTATGCAAGGTTGTTTTTAACTTTAATTTTCTATATTTAGTTCTAATGTACAAATGGGTTGCTTTTTAACATTTGAATGCTGATAAGAATATTAATAGGCTACATGTCTCTCAAACTGGCTAGCTAATAGCTCATTGTCAGATTACCTCTTAGTAATTTACATGGCTCCATTAATGTTACATTGGATTTCATGTTACCCAATCTCTGTGCCTGGAATTGTTCAGATTGCAATCATGCCTGCTTTAGGCATTCTCAAGTCTTTAAGCACCTTTTTGTGCTGATCATTTGTGAATGTGCATTACTGAGCCAGAATTTACTTTGCATTCTGCATGTTCGATGTCCAGCCTCCTTATGTCTCTAATTGTCAATTCTGCAATCCTTGCTTTAGTCCTGTTACATTACTCTTCCTGGAATGTTCTTCCTTAGAAACCAGGTAACTTTATATCACTACAGACTCAGAAGCCATTTAAGAGAGTTATGTGGAGTGCACATCACTACTTTCCTTCCAGGAACAAATTTAGGTTGTCTCAAAAGTGAGCATATCCCAGGCCATTGCATCATCACAGTGACATTTTAAGGATGAGTCACAATACCATCCTACCACCAAATGTATACTTGGCCCTATTATGTATGCCAGCCCAATACCAGTGCTGTGGCTGGCTTGGAGTCAGTAAGAGAACTAGGTTGGCCTTAGGGTATGGTTTTCCTCCACTGGTGCTGCACTACTCCACATCCAGTGTTTCCAATCTTGCTCCTTGAATGGACACAGTGGAAATTTTATATTGACTTCTCCATGTAACATGGGGAACTACAATCCACCCTATCTTTCTGTGAGTCCTAGAGACAAAAATGGTCTCTGAGAAAATTCACACACACACACACACAAATTTCACCAGAGAAGTGAAATATAATATCTCTATATTAAATGTTATAAAACAGCAATAGAATTAGAAGAACCAAACACTAGACACACTTCCCATATTCACATATTGTAAGAATAAATATTGTTTTAGTACATATATACCCAAAGCAATCAACAGATTCAATTAAATCTTCATTAAAATAGTGTTGGCAAAAATTTGCTTACAGGCACAAAAGTCTCTGAACCACTAAAGTAATTTCAAAGAAAAAGAACAAAGTTGGACAAAGAACAAATCTTAATACCTGATTTCTATCATATTTCAGAGCTATAGAAACTACACCATCTTGATCCTGTCTTAAAAAATGATCACATAGAAGAACAATGAAGCAGAGTAGAGATTTTAGAAATAAGGTGATGTATCTATGGACAAAAAGTCAAACTGCTCAATGAAAGTTGCCAAAGCCTTCATTAGGGAAAGGGCAGCCTCTTCAATATGCTGGAGAAAGTGGATATTTGCAAATAAGAATCTGAAACTGTGTCTGTCTCTCACCTGGTACAAAAATTAAGTCAAAACAGATCAAAGACCTAAATGGAAGTCCTGAAACTAGGAATCTTCCACAAGAAAACAAAGGCAAGAAATCTATGTAATCTATACCATTTCTAGGATAGGTACAAACAAATATAATCAATATATCAAAGAGCTGTGTGCATTCTTATGTTTATTTCAGGACTGTTCAGAGCTGTCAACATGTAGAATCAATTGAAGTGAACACCAGTGGATGACTTGATAAGTAAAATATGGTATAGATGCAAGTTACAGTGTTTCTAAGCCACAATGAACAAAAACATCCTCACTGGAAAAACATGGGTGAAATTAGAGTCTATCCTGTTCAACGGAATATCAGAAAAATAATACACACACTCTCTCTCTCACATCGGAAGTAAAAAGGGTCATTCTGCATAAAGATAATTACTAAAGTTTTGGGAGTATTTGGACGAGATAAATAAGATGCTAGATAACAAGAATTAAAATACCGACAGAAAAAAATGTTATAATGTTGTATTGCAAGAGAGTAGCTACAAGGTTCCTGACATTAACGAAAAGGCTCATTATCATGATTTATTGTGTGTACTGTATATAAATATGTGTGAATGATTAAGTTTAATATCAAACACTCAAAAAAAGACAAACGTATAGAAAGAAAATTGCACATGCCAGTTAAATACAGACTTGGTTAGTGGTGTGTGACACTATTCATGGAGAGAGGTGAACAAGCAGCTACTCACCCCAGGAAGGAAACCAATGATCAATCCAAGCAAAAATCCTACCTCCACAAGACATGCTCAAGATCAAGCCAATCAATATGCTAGCATAGATTAGTGGTAGTGGGTGTTCATGAGCTCCCACCCTTAACTGAGGAGCTATGAACAGTTGATGGCTTTAGGGAGAGGGAGAGTCCCTTTTCTTTAAACATCTGTCTGCTCAGAGAGACAGTGGAGTGGAAGCAAGAAACGTGGGTTCCTCACAGCCTGCCAAACTTGAACATTTACTCTGAGGGATTTTTAAAAAATAATTGGCATGAGGTGAGTTATGAGGTCACAGGAGCCCCTGGAGACTGTGTTCATGAGTGACAGCAGACTCTGGCATTGAAAAATATTCACAATCTGGATAATTTCAAGGTAAAGCCAAAGCCCCCCCCAAGGAACTACCTCTAGAATTAGAAGACTGGACATTGGGAATTACCCAGAAAGGTTTTACCATGAGCAAGTGGAGGAAAGCAGGAGATGGTGATGGGGAAGACTGGAGACATAGCATCTCTAGAGGGTAGGCACAGCAATTTGGTTTTAGATATGCTGAATTTAAGGGACTGGTATAATATGCAAGTGGAGATGTCAAACAATCTATTGGAATTGGTCTTGATTTTAGTAAATTAGGTAGCCCCCTGTCTCTAAGAAATCTGACTCCTGATAGGCCAACCATGCTTCAGTGGATGTCCCATACCCATGAGTATATATGGACAACACAGATTGGAATCAAGGGGTTATTAAATTTTATGTATATGTATATACATATATATATATATAGAAAGAGAGAGAGAGAGAGAGAGAGTACACACTTCCAAACTTTCATAACTAATAATAAGTCTCCATGTCCTAATCTGGGGGCTGGAAGTTCCGAAAGAAGTTCCACCAATAGGAATTCATTAGTTGTCAAGTCAATCTGTATTTTCAATTATTTAAATAATGGCTGATAAAAGAGATTATTTCTGAATGAGTCACCATTGCCAAACAATTCAATGAATGAATAGGTTAGATAAATGAGAGGTTACAAAACTAGTACAGCAAGGTTTAGTGGCCCCCTTCTTTCCTTAGCTACTGTTTCCTGCCTCTATTTCACAAGTAGTTAACACCAAACCTATTGTACAGTGGCATAGTGGTCTTCCTTATTTGTTTTATTTTGTTTGGTGGGATGTAAGGTATACTGTAGGTGAAAAGCTTAAGTATGTCCTCTATTACAAGTATCCCTGCCCACACTGCCATGTACATTTTTCAAAAATTATACCTTGCCTAACATGACCAATTTTGTACACAGTACTTTATTCTGATGTCCTATGAACACTGTCCTTTCCTTGAATGCAGCCATCGCGTTGTATATGAAAATGTGTCAGGCAAATAAAGGCAATTATTGTGTTCATGTGACTACAGTCAAATTAGTTGTCACTTCTGCTGTATCATATATTGGTACATCCATGATGACAGTGGAAGAATGTTCTTGAGGCAAGAACCAAGAAGCAAGTCAATATTGATTTTAATCATTATTTTTGTTACTTCAATAAATAATGTAAAATCTGGGGCATATGCTAAGCCATTCTGAATGTGAGGATTACAGTGTCACAGTGAAATTCTGAGAAGAAAAGTTGTATATGTAGTCCCCTTACATATGATCTGTGTCCAGCTGTTCTTCTAGTATATTCATTAGACTCTTTTACAAATGTGTGCCTACAGGCAGGAAGGGTCTTCATTGTGTGAGAGGCACATTATGAAACACAAGAGAACACAACATCAAGCTCTGTTAGTAACAGCAAGAGCAACTGTCAGCAAAATTGTGAGGGGAGCACATTTCCAGCTCATAGATGCTATTAATAAACAAATATATTCTAGTGAACATAATAATGGAAAGGTAAACCCCCATTTCATCATGGTGACTCCTCCAGAGAGGGATAAAAGGGAGTGAGTCTGGGGTGTTTTCTAATTTTAACAGTATGCAATATAAGCAGAATGAAGTAGACAGTAATACTTGCTATTGCTGACTTTACTTGATGCTGTACTCATATTTTTCAAATTTTACACAGAAACAAATATGAGTTCATAATGCGTAGTAGTCATTAAAATATTAAGTATAAGTGGAAATGGCCTTACCAAATAATCATTTGCTTTAAAATTTTCCACAACCATTTCTGCCTCCTTGAACTTCAAATCCTTAAAATTACAGTGATCTTGAAATTTATATGAGTATAAATATAAAATAAAATATATAATCTAGCATGTCACTTAACTTGTTACCTTGTTACCTTGTATTTCTCTAAAATCATTTCATGGGAGTGTAAAATATGTGCAGAATTTGATTCATGAATAGAGGAAATCATGCTTTATTGCTTAATTATTTAAGATGTCTTAAAAGAAACAATAATTGCATTCCACAATTGACATTATTGGAATGATAAATGATTGAACCATCCTAACAACGTCTATATAAGTTTTATAGAAAACATGAATATTTACTTTTTATATCTGTGGTGTGTGTGTGTGTGTGTGTGTGTGTGCACATACACTCACACACTCACCCATGTGTTTACTTGTAGAGGCCAGATGCTGACAGTGAGTCATAGAATTTCCCTTCGTGTACCCACTGCTGGGGACAAGTCAGTTATCATGTCTGGCCTTTTATCTGACTGCCAGGGATAAAGTCCAAGGTCTCTATGACTGCACAATGTGTACTTTACCCAGTAAACCATATCCCCATCCCCCTGTTTTTAAACATATATAAAATGAGAATGGCTTTTTCATGCAAATTAACTAGAATTCTAGTTGCACTAATTAAGAGAACCATGGTGGTCAATCAGATAAGAAGTCATAAATAATAATAAATGTCAAAATCATACTTTATAAAATTAGCTATGGGTTGCGTCTCCTTTAATTTTACTTTGAGAAATGTCGCTTTATGAGATATATATAGAAAAAAATACTTCTGCAGATTAATATGCTATCAATAAAACACGTTTTATCTTCCATGTGTGATAAGAATTTTTGATTCCATAAAACACTGTAAGAAAAAAAAACCCACAAAACTGTGAATCAGGATGTACTCACATTCCAAAGAACTGATGATGTTGCAAATCACTTCTGCCTCACTCTCCAGTTACCACGATAATGCTTAGCACTTCCACAGTGTTTTTTAGCTTCAAAGAGCCTACAAACTTCAGCTAATTAATCCTTACACTCCCTAGGGAGACATTGATCAGATCCCCCTTGAAGAGAGCATCTAACTACATATTAACACTTGCTTCTGCAGAATTCCACATATATGCTGTGCTGTCCTTTCCTATCTTCTTATTCCAATAGATCTTGTGAGGATGAGAGAACGATATCCCCATGGGGTTGTGTGATGCGTGTCCATCTTCTGTGGATAAAGTGCTGTATGCTGCACTCAATCTTCAACGAAAAGCTAAAAAAGAAAGATATGTGTTGCTAGCAAAGGAAAAACATCTGCTACAGTTTTTGCTTTGCTTTCTCTCATTCATTTTACATCTCATTTGCAATTATTCTAGAAAGGAATTGTTGGGCTAGAACACTACAATACACAATACATGACTGTATTATTAATAATTCTATCATTGCTTTATATTCTGAAATACTGTGTTTAAGAGTCAAGTGTGTAAATTATGCTGACCAGAAGACCATATGTGAAAGTTATGCACAAATGAAAAGAATATTTGACTATTTTATTAAGAGTCCCGTCAGCTGGGATCGCCTTGTCTCTGCAGGTAGCTGCCTACAGGGGTCTACTAAAACAAACCTATTCCTGTAGTAAAGGTTAAGGCTGGGTCATTGCAGGGGGCAGTCTGGAAAAGTATTGCACATCTTTTCCCCAAAACAGGGGGTGTCCTTAGTCAGTTTCACTTTTACACTGAAAGCTGCTTTGAAAATTAATCACTTCCTGTCTTAACTATGAAGAATTTGTGATTAAATTCTAGTTACTTGTATTAATTTAATTTGTAAAAAAATACAAAATTACTAATCACATACAAATCCAAGCACATATAATCATGTGCCCATGTACACACAGGAGACCATACAGCCAGCAGTCCACATGTTTTCACATGTGTTCACACACTCAAGTTTACACATGCACACAAACACTCATGCACACACACATGAACATACAGTCACAAACACAAGCACACACATGCACATGAATACACGTGCACTCATGTGCACAAACAGAAGCAACATTTGAGAAAGCATCCAGAGGCTGGAGATATGGATCAGTGGTTAATAGCTGATAGGAACCTGGAGGAGTAGAAGGGGCAGGTTATTGTAATCAGGATATATTGTATGGGAAAAGCATCTATTTTCAGTAAAAGTAATTTTTTAAAAGGGAGGAAAGGTTGCCCTTCCACAGGATCTGGGCTCAATTTCAAGTACCCACAGAGTAGTTCATAACCACAGTGTTATAACAAAGACAGATTTATACGTAGCTAGCTCAGAAAAGCATGGATTTTATAACTCCAGTTTCAGTGGGTCTAATGTTCTCCTCTCTGAAGGCACTAAGTACTAGAGTGGTGCATGTAAATATATTGAGTCAAAATGGCATACACATAAGATAAAAATAATAAAAAGGGGAAAATCCAATCTATACATATACTTTAATTTTCCATATGATATTCCATTAACCTGATAATTACTATTTAACAGATAACTTATTTTGCTAAAATCTTCAATAAGCTTCATGCAATAAAGGATAAATAAATGTGACACAAAAAAAGATCATAAACTTAGTTAAAGAATTATGAAAGGTTTTTTAAATAATAATTTAACTGTGTGGTTATGAAGAGTTTATTCTTAGCTGACATCCTATCATAATGTCAAAGAGCTGGACATCATGGGGGAAAAGTATGAAAAACATATGAAACATGTTTTTTATATATACCCTTTTCTTATAAATGAAGTAATGTAGTTAAAGTGGTTAGCTTCGATATAAAAGTCAGATACTTTTGAACATATTACATTTTGCTAAAATATGACAAAATATCTTCCAGAATTTATGTTTAATCTGGGCAGAGAAAGACCAAGAATAATGTAGAGAGTCATATGCTTGGAATAGAGGCAAGGCTGCCATTTCCTTTTTACCAGTTCCAAGCTTATCATGGAAACAAAATATATGTACCTGGTTTTGTGGCTTGGAACCCAATTTTATAGACAGAAATCACACTGGAAAGCATTAGCCTAATTGTAGCCTCTGTTGGGAATGATCTATTTGCAGTTGAGATTGCTCCTAATGATTGGCCTTGGAATCCTTGATGCTTTGACCAAACTAATGTCAAAACTTAAATCTGGTTCCCTATGACTCTATTTTACCTCTGTCTTGGAAAATAGGGTAGATCATCTGGCTATGAAGTAATTTTTAGGATCAGCAGTGCATATAGACAATCTTACAGGATTTTGTAGAAAACAATTCATATTTCTATGAAAATTTAACAACATTCTGACATTTTCACACAATGGCTATTGTGTTATATTATGCTAGATTTGGTGTTGTTGTTTGTGAAGTGCTTTATTTTTTAATGCGAATTTACCACTAAAATTGATTATTGGTTCTTGAGCTGTGAACATATATGAATCCTGAAACATGTGCTGAAAGAAAACAAGAGGAAATTTATACAAATCATGAGGCAGAGGTTGGTCTTCTGTGAAATCTTAGCCTTGGTGGAAGAGATACAATTGATTTTTCTTTGGGGTCTATAATTTGGAATAAAGAGAAGCACAAAAATATTTCAAGTAAGAGCTGAGTTTGCTACTCTGCAAACCGTCTGTGCTATCAATATAGCTTTTTTTCTCATGAGTTACACTTCAGATTCTGGCTTTGATGTACTAAGCAGAAGGACTCATGTAGCAGCTGCCTGGAGCATCTGGCCTAAGGTAGCAGTCAATGTCATGTGGCTAGCTAACAATGTCAGATTTCTGGGCTGAGCTGCATAGATCAGCCCTTTAGGGATTCTGGGAAATATGGGAAATATTGGAGATGTAACTTGGTCACTCAGTGTTATTAAGAAAACTAAGCAAATGGGCATCAAAGCATTGGGATCCAGAACAGGACAGTGAAAATGTGCATATAAAATCAAGCCTCCTGAACATCCTCAAGTTAAAGATACACTACAAGTCACGTTTGAAATCAATAAGATAAAAAGCACAAAATTTCTAGCTGTTTTCTACAATTAATTAAAATGAAGAACTCTTGATAATCAATTTTAAGACACACAATAATTTTAACATCTATAACATTTAAGTACAATAAATATAATTTTTTGTTTCTTTGTGTTAACATTACAGAATTAAGAGAATTTCCTCACAGGTTTGAGCTTCCATTATGATGTCTCTACTAAACCATAAGCCTGAAAAATAATGAATATTTGCATGTTGTAACCTGTACAAGGCTAATTCTTCTCTTCAGACTAAAAGTTGTGTTAAACTAAGAGCTTAAAAATCATTTCTTCGAAGGGTGGGTAATACCATTAAAAATGTTAATGATGGTGGATAAATGTCAAAAGATAGTGGGTACACAGTAGTGGAGCTGCTGGAAAGTTCTGGTAGGGGAAGCAAAACTTTGGGACTATGCAGCAATACTTTGGGAATCTTGATATTTTTCACATTGTCAATCTGTTTCCTTAGCCCTTTAATTGTTTTCCCAATGCTTTGCTCTTTCTGAATCTTATGTCGAAACTAAAATGAACCACATAGTGGAATGGCCAAGAAATACAAACATGAATGAATGACCGCAAAATATGATTAGATTATTTGGCTTTCTTCATCAATATTTTTACATTGACCATTATATTTTAAATTTATAATTCTTCAAGTAAGAGTAATATTTACAATTTTTCTCTTTTTATTGGTAAAAATACTTAGGACCTTTTCTGCTTTTCAGAAGTCAGCTATACCTCTTTTAGGAAATAAGAATTATACTTAATTTGAAACTTCACTTATTTTGTCTTCTTATCTGTACTTGGACCACATTTTTTTCTATGGAGATATGCAATTCCCACCTTTTTATTCTCTATAGTTCAATGCAAGCAGATTCCAGTGATTTTATAACTGTTTGGAAAGAGGCCACTTGACTGAGTCATATTGCTCTACTTTCATGTCCATCATGAATTTCATAATTTTATAATTAAAGTTGATACAAGGAGCCTGGAACAAATGCCTAATGTTTTCCTCGAGTCAAAGTGAGTACTTAAATTTCTCTGGTTATGATAATATTCATAAAAGGTGTTATGAAAGTTTATTGGAGTTGAATATGGTTTTAATTATATACAAATAATGAAATCATAAAGGTTAAAAATATGATAATGGAATAAATTTCAACCATGAGAGAAGTGAAATGAATAAAATGCCCTTTTCATAAAAGTATATATTCACTATTTTTGAAAAGCAGCAGCTCCTAATGTACATTTTTGGCTCATTCTCTGTAATTATGCTAACAAGTATCGTGCTGAGAAAGGATTAGTCCTGATGGACAATCAAAGACAATGCTTCCTTCCTGGTAAAAGGTGAGAAAAGATGTAGGCATCTGCGCTGCAGTTATTAGGCATGGCAGCAGGAGGTCCATATGACCAGTTTGTGAGCAAGATCAGAGTCTGACTTCGATCTCTGCCCAGCTCCTTCCCAGGCTCCTCAGTGCCATCATGGAAGGGATGCTTCTGACTTGAATGGTGGAGACTGCTCTGAGAACATTGCCCTGGCAGTTCGGTTTAGTGTACATCCTCAGCTCAGCATCATAGTGCTGGCAGGGTGAAAACTCCCGCAGGATGGAGCATTTGGCATAGCAGCAGGATTTGGGATTCTGTTAACCTGAAAGTAGAGAAAATATCCTTATATTAAAGAAAACATGGAAAATCTAGCCATTTTTTTCCATACTGGGATGTAAAGGGAGAAATGAGCAGAAGAGAAGAGAGGAGAAAAGAGATAGAGATAGACAGTGACAGAGACAGAGACAGTGACAGAGACAGAGGTAGAGAGTTTAAAGACAATCCTGTCTCTGAATCCCCAAAAAGGTGTTGTATAGTAACCAATAAAACAGGATGCTCAAAAATATGGAACTAAATATCCTCTCAGTGGCCAGATCAACTAATGACTATGATGTGTCTTGGCATTCAGTTAGCATTTTACTCAATGTTATCTTCTGAAAATTCTGTTAATATCAGAGTCTTAAACCTTTAAATCAGATAAGACTTATTTCTTTCTACTGTTAAATGCTGTCATTATTGTCATTAGATGTCAAAATTCAATCATAGGCTTTCCAAAATATTCATTTGAACAGTCTAATCAGTGTGTGTTAGCTACACATATTGTACATGATCCTGATATTAATGAGAAAACTACAGGTCTCCAAGTGAACT